ACCTGGTTCCACTCATAAATGAGACATGTCTTTGATCTTATACTGTTTCATTCATACACCAATACAATCACACCATCAAGGTTTACAGGTTTCAAACATTGCATTAGCTTTTATCATTAAACAAACAAGTAAATCCTCTAGCTGTTCCTCAGTTTCAAAGCCAGGCACTCTTCAAAAGCAAACTTGGTGTGGTGGGTTCAACCCTTTCAGCCTGAGAAGCCACAAAACTGACACTTCTAGTAGATTCCATTTGCCCCTAAAAGCCGCTTTCACAACTCCCTAAACTGACATGTTTACAAGACACCTAGCTAACAAAATTAACTGCATTTGTGCTAGCACAACCATACACTGTGACAGGGGGGTGCCTACATTTACTTCACAAACAAAATATCATTTAGGCAGGTTTCTAACTGACATTTCCTCCCAATGGTAACAGTTGTTACCAGGCAACCATGATCACAAGGTCAAGTGTCACCAGAGTTCATAGCTAAATTTACCCCCCTCCCCCTTCTCTCTCTTCCTCTTGGAGGCAGGGATAGACAAGAGGGAGAGTAAATAGAAAAAGAGAAGGGACAACAAAGCTGTGCAGGCCCCAGGAGATCTAAGCCATTTTATTCTGCATTATTTTTCATTAGTTACTCCCCTTACTATAGCAGCAGTTCTCAACCTGTGGGTCACAGTGATTGCCTAAGACAATCACGAAAACATATACAGCATTCACTGAAGATATAAAGTAGCCATGAAAATAATGTTATGGTTGAGGGCATCACAACATGAGGAACTGTATTAAAGGGTCATGGCTAGGAAGGTTGAGAACCACTGCTCTATAGCGTTTGTGATGTGGATGCTAAACTGATTTTGTGCAAATTTGTGTGTGTGCGACACATAAAATGGATATATTGCTTAAGATTTATCTGTCAGAAATATCTGAAAAACAGAAAGTGAGGGAGCCTGGCTCCCCCCCCCCCCCACCCCTCTACATCACCAGAGCTAAAAATGTAACTACCCGTCAGATATGTTGCTTGCTCCTCCTGGACATAAATATGACCTCATTAGAATCAAAAGTTTCAGCTTTTCAGAGATTTGCCTCAGGTGCTACTGTGGTTCAAGAAGCAAGCGTCTGGTACACTTATCTCACAGACACATTACATACAAAAACAAATGGTTTGCTCACTTACCTAGTATGCCATGGGACGCTATACCATAAAAGACATACGCTAAAAGAGGAGAGCAGAGCACAAGGTAGAAACTAGAACAAGAATGGAAATACAGCATTAGGAAAAACTCTTACAAAACATCATGAAGTGTCTATGGCCTAGGCAGGAAGAACAGCAAAAAGCAGAACCTTGCATTTCTCGTATAATATTTGTCTGTAACAGGCAGAAATAAAATCCTAACGAGTAGTCTGTGACGAGAGCACTAACCATGTGGCCTGAAATCCTCAGGCTTAGAGATCCCTCCTGCTACACAGCAAAAGTGATAAATATAGGCGGAATCTAAGTTACAGAGATTCATGTGGATATACTGTTCAGGACATGCAAGAATGTGAGGGAATAAATGAGATGACTTTTTAGCTAGAAAATTGATATCATCAGGAACACCCACAATGGACAAGGGAGACATTCTGAAGCTCATTTATGTACGAATATTGACTGAGGACAGGTTATTAGATAAAATAACATGTGTAAGGATGTGCGAATCAGGAATAAATTGTGGATCCAGCAAGAAAAGAAGTATGTGAGTGAGAGTATTACGTGTGTCAACCAGTATGCTACTGGAACAGTTAGCATCTACCTGAAGAAATTTGCTATTGATATGCCCAGTATGCTGTGATATCGATTCTTATGACAATAATCAGTCAGTAAAACCACTCTATTTGTTTAATGTAATTACTGAAATCCCTCTAACAATGACTTTCAACAGAATGCTAATTTTTAGCTAGCTAGTTGAACGGATGTGCGAGCTGCAGAAAAAAAAATAAGCCTACTTTTTTTTTAACAGTGGCAACTGGAGACTAAGTATCTAAATCTTACCAGACAGCATGAAGGATCCCGAAAAAATCTACACATACCAGACAAACATAACATCTTCAAAGGCCAAGACAAATGTAAAAATGGCTTAATCATTTATTTCACCATTGAACACTCCTTCCCCCGCAATACATTTTAGTAATAATGCACATTGTTTTGTGTTTGTAAGTTCTCACTCTCCCTTAGCAAATGTCACAGTAAACATACTGACTGAGGATGTTTCTGCAATGGCTGTGTAAATAAATGCAACAATGAATTGCCAATTTGAGCTTCTTACATGTCAATTCAAATTTGTCGCTATGTTTAACTTGCACCACCAGTTGTGAGATCCATCAGTTTGTCATGCGGCAATGTAAAACATGTTGATTGTACTCGGCTCCCAGACCTAACAGCTCAGAGCAAGTGACACACTGAGCCAGCTTATGTACGCCCTTCAGATGGGTTTTCAGGTGAACCTTCTGATTGAACTTTGAGTCGCAGACAGGACACATAAATCTCCGCCCTTCATGAGCCTGCATGTGCAGATTGAAGCCTGTGGAAGAAAGAAATCCTTTGCCACAGACGGGACAACAGAACGGCTTGTCCTGGTCCACTGAGGACAACAGCGCCAAAGAATCTGGCGTTGTCTGCACATCATTTGACACATGAAGTTGTGAAGTATCTGGAAACACAGGCAGACTATGGGAGCTTTTATGCTGAAATGATTTCTGTGATGTGCCAAAGGAAGACGATGCTGCTAATTTCAAACGTGATCGTCCTTGGGCATAAAATCCTGTAATGAAGAAAACACGAACTTGATTCCACATACAGATGTTTGCTTATGGGACAACAGAGTCACATTTTATCTGCCAACAAAATACAGTCTGAAGTAACTATCAAAGAAAAAACAACCCAAACTATCACACAAATAAGATAGCACTTCAAAACACACATGCAAGACCACCAAGACAAAAATGCAATCAAATATAAACTTTTAAACTGCCAACTGTCCCACAAGCCACAATCATGATTTACAAGTTTCCATGTGTAAATTATATTCCTGGGGATGTTTAAACACAGCCAGACATTTTGTACACTGATATAAACAATGTATCATAGCCACATGTCTGGACAGATGGTGTTTCAATGTGAACCTTCTACCACACACAGAACAAACGAAGCTCCTCCCTTTATGGCCCTGCATGTGAAACGCCAAACTCTGACGACTCAAGCAGCCTTTGCCACAAAGCTTGCAGCAGTAGGGCATGAGCTGGCCATGCTGTTCACACAGGTGTCTCTTGTATTCGTGCTGGCTGAAGAACACTTGTGGACAGTGCAAGCAATGCATGCCTTCAGGTGACACACTTGACATGGCATCTGAATTCAAATGCTCAAAAAATCTATTTTTGTTAGGATCCTGGTGGGCTACTGGACCTCTGCCTGAAATAAAGAAAATTGTAAATAGCAATACACTTGAAAACAACAGATTCTGTTTTACATGTCTTCAACAGTTTACCTGCAAAATTTACTGGCTGCCCATGTGATCATCATTAACTCTTTCAGCACGAGAAGATAACATAACTGACACTTTTGGCTGGTACTTTTCCATAATAGCCACTTTTTCGACTTGTCACAGAGACATGAATATGAGACCTCTATCTAACAGGTATAATTGCATGTATACTCACAATCGTTCATTGTGACAGGAGATGGTGAAGGCAGGGGTTTAAAATGGCTTTATACATAGAGATTTATGTCTAATACTTTCCCCAATGGCTATAGAAGTTACCTGGCAACTGGGTCAAGTAATTGTAACACTATAATTAGTTTGTGGTCCCAAGAGATGTAAGCCAGTTGATTCTATGCTGTATTTTTTAATATTCAGTTGGCCCCTTACTCTGTATAATATTTGTTCTTGTTTTGGAAAATAATGATCTGTGTTTGTTTTGTGACATATTGTAAAACAGTTGTTTTTCTATGAATTTTTGTCAGGCAATTTTTGAAAAAATGGAAAGTACGGAAAGTTGACAAGACTTCATGTGTGTCCGGTGTGCTTCTCATGCTTGGCTGTGCTGATCTTTACTCACAAATCTCATATTCTTAGCAGTGATGTGGACATATTGCTTCTAAAATCCTCTAAGGGCGTTGACAATGTCTGAGTGATCCATGGGCCAGCAATCTGCAATTAAAGTGGAACCTGCAAGTCTATCAGCTCTTTCATTGTCCTGTCAAGCTCCTGACTGATTTTGTTCCATTCTGACCCAATGACTATACCATAGCTTGGCTATTTTTACTAGGTCACCTAAGTAAAAGGAATAAATCTTGTAAAACAAGTTAACATTCTGCTTGTTGTCAATGATTCAACACCACTGCACATTAGAAAATCATTACATCCAACTTAACACTGACACTTTCTTCTGAAAAAATATATTGTACAAAATAAAATTATAGATTTACAGATAAATGCACTACTCTCTCTCACACAATCGTATTTTAACTGTTGCCAATTTCCCCAAAAAAAACAAATAAATATAATAAAAATGTTATAATGTATAACAAAATGCAAAACATCACATTATCTGATATTTTAATTTTTTTTAAAAAGCAAAAATGTGGTGTCAAAAAAAAAAAAGCTTCATTAATGGAAAGTAAATCAAGTGGTGTGTGTTTAAAAAAAATTCATATCAATACTCTGTGGGTAATCTCAGCATACCAAAAGAAAAACCTGGCAATGAGGAAACAATTATGCAAAACTTGACTACATGTTAAAAAAATGCTTGTTGAACTCTACATGTTAAAAGATGTTTGCGGCACAAATCTCCAATGTTAAATGTCTGGACAGATTGGGCATTACAAAATGTTTTTAATATTATTCAGACAATATTTTATGTGAAGTCCCCCCCCCTCCCCCTCCTTCCTGTCCCAATTGGTCCCGGTACCCACAAAGGCACCCAAAGAGACTAATAATGCGAAACAATTCTGCAAAAGCTGTTAACTACACGTTAAAAGGTGCTTGTTGAACTCATCTCCAATGTTAAATGTCTGCAAACACGCTGGGCACTGTGAAACCTTGTGTACATTATTCAGATGATACTTCAAGTGGGGCTTCTGATTGAACTTAGAATCACACACGGGACACACAAATTTCCTGCCTTCATGAGCCATCAAGTGGTGGCTGAGACCCGTGTGGCTAAGAAAACCCTTTCCACACAAAGAGCACTGGTACGGCATCTGATCACCATGTTTCTGTAACATATGATGCCTTAGCACACTCTTAGGCATGACCTGCCCACAATGCATACAGTGTGCTATGCTGACAGTGCGGGCCGGTGAAGGTTGATGTTGATTTTGCCCTTCACTCTCCCCATGTGTACCTGGATGACTGTGTGTCCGATACCTTGCTTGCTGGGAATACCACAGAACTGTTGAATGAGTGTTGTTAGCTGTGTTTCTGTCCTGCTGCTGATGGCTTTGCATGAATGATCCTGAAACAAAAGTATGCAACCAGTTCACTAATATTTTTGTCTTCAAAAGTCAAATGTGAGATGTCACTAGCTTATTACTTGAATGTACAAGTTCTATAACACAAATTTCAGTAGGTCAAACAAAACACAAAAAAATAAAAATAAAAATGCAAAAAGGTTCTGAACTGTAACAGCAAAGAATCTACTGTAATGACGACCCTTGACAACTCAATACATGCTGGTCATAATCACTGCCAATTTGAAAAGTCCCAGAACATGACATACATGGTAGGCAGCCGTGAACATTTTTTAAATGTCTCTTGACTTTGCTCTTCTGTGTGAAGGTGGTATCACAAATGGGACACCTGAACTTCATCCCTTTATGGATCAACACATGATGCTTCAGGCCGGACATGCTGAAGAATCCCTTCCCGCACTGAAGACACCGCACAGGCATGTCACCGCTGTGGTAATGAGTTATGTGGTGTTTCATGTCCAGGGATGAGGTGACCAACTGACAGTGGGGACACTGAACTAAGTCCTTACTATCAGGATTGAATGCACTGGGAGATACAACGATTGGGTAAGTTTCCATTGCTGAACTATGAGCACTAAAAGCCGAACTTGCTTGATAGCTGGGGCCTTGCCTTCTTGGGAGTTTCATTTCTGAAAGAAAGAAATGTTCCACATTCATCACAATCTGCTGCCATGGATACAGTAGTCAAGTTATAGACAACACTACACAAACATCTAGTTCCAGTAGATGTATGTATAAGTATTCCAACTAATACACATTCTTTTACACTGCAAACAATTAATAATAAATATATGTGGTATTTGGTTTCAAATGAATTACTTGCATACAGACATAAATCAGACCATAAACACAACAGAAATGTCTTTATGTCAACTGAGACATACTTGAACTACAGCAAAAAAACACTTTTATCATGGAATGAAAAGACAAATACTTATGTGTGTGGAAATGATTGACAGACACACATATATACACACAATATCCAAAAGGCAGTGTTAGATATAATCACAAAATGTTACATGATTAAAATCTTTATGGAAGTTATGAAATTAAAACTTGCATTTCTTCAGGTATTCTTCTAGAACACAAACAAAATATATTGTGCCACTATTGTCCACCTCTTTTCTCCTTGCTCTGCAACAGTCTGTGGCACTGACTTGCCTGCTAAACAAAACACAATAATATGCTTCTGTTCTGTGTGTGCACAGCCCAGTATAGTTTACATTATTGGTTTCTATTTTTGACTGCCTTCACTGAATATTGCAGAACAACACACACGACTACAATAATTGCATACAATTGTCTACAGTCTATCTTTATTCTCATATATAACTTAAATACAGGTATAGATTGAAGATACAATTTATCAGTATTATGTTTATTATGTTGAAATAAACATTACTACTAACTCAACATTTCTATCATCATATACTGAAAAGATAAATCAATGACATATACAGTGTGTATACATTACACAATCAACTACACTTAACAAGTATTTTCCAAGCAAGCATTCGATTTATCAAACATTCTGTAAAATATCACAAATTACAAGACAACTTTTACACACAGCGGAAAAGTAACAAGTAAACTTTACTGTTAACATAAAAAGAGAGAAACCCATAGTGATCCGATAGCATGTTTTTATTAGTTTGTAAATAAAATATTGTACTCGGGTATGTGAAAAGCAGACTCAAATGTTGTTTATCGTGTCCAGTGGATATGTGAGCGTGAATTGCATGAGTTTTTGTGATTGTTACAACGCAGTGGTTATTGTGTTTAAGACCATTTTTGTGAACACTATTCACTGCATACGCAACTGAAACCCTATAAAAGGATAAGGCTACACCATAACATTCAGTTAATTTTCAAGCGCCTCTATCGATAAATTTAAGGAAGATTGCCTTTGGCGGATCGCAGGCACAAGAAAGTCAAAGTCAGGTTGCCAGCCCTCTACACATGCATCAGAGTACCATCAGTTGACTTTGGCCCCAGTTCCAAGCCCATGGTTCAGTTAAAAACCACCAACGCACTCTATCACCCAGAGTGACAACAGCAGCAGAGAATCGCTTTATTCGGCTTCATCAGCTCAAAGATAGCTGTTTTACAACAGCTTCCTTAAACTGTTCGCAACAGATATCATGTCGTTGGACTCTGGGCACGACGACGACACCGAAGATCTGTCATGCGTTGCCACCACCGATATCGACTTTGGGCCAACCAACATGGTCCCTGGGAGGTGACAATCAATGGAGACGTGTCTGGTTCAGTGACAAATCTTTTATTTTGTTGCAGCATCATGGTAGATGGCGTCGGGTCTACCGCAGGCGAAATGAAGGTTGAAGCCAAAATTGTGTTGATGAAGCCTTGCTGATGGGGGTGGAGATTTAATGATGTGGGGAATGATCAGTTACAATGGAAGGAGTCAACTGGTGGACAATGAAGGAAGCTTGAATGCGCAATGATACATCAGTGAAATTCTTTAACTACATGCCCTTCCCATTTTGGATGCCGACAGACATCTTTTTTCATTAGGACAACGCCAGACCCCATTCTGCACAGCTGACCACGCAGTTCCTGGCTGCCAATAACATTCAAACCCTTCCCTGGCCATTCCTCTCTGAGTCTCTGAGCACCTCTAGGATGAGCTGCAAAGACATGTTTGTCGTCAAGATGTTCCAGGCCCTCCAAGAAGAATGGGCAGCTATCCCAAAGGCTCACATCAGACATCTGATAACATACATGCACAGGAAATGCTAGTCACTGATCCAGGCAAGAGAAGGCCACACACCATACTTACGGGAAAGGCTGCATGCCTAAAATTATAGTGACCCAGATGCACACACACAAAAATGTGTCAATTGATTAGTGGAATCCTAAGGTATTCTTGTGTGAAATTTGAGTAATTTCACATATTGCATTTCAAAGATGCAGAATGTCAAAATTGTGAGTTATATGTTCCTTTCAGCAGATATGCGTTTTATTTTGAACAGTATAGAAAATGACAAAGGTTACACACAATTTCAAACAGCTGTACACAATCAAATTACAAAATATTTGTACACAGTCAAAATACAAAACATCTGTACAGCATTAGGATACAAAACATCTGTACACTATCAGAATACAAAACATCTGTACACTATCAGAATACACAAAACATTTGTACACTATCAGAATACAAAACATCATACCTGCATACACTATCAGAATACAAAACATTTGTACACTATCAGAATACACAACATCTGTACACGATCAGGATTGAAAATATTTTAATATGATCCTTTCAAAATTGAACAAGTTTAAAATAATAATTCAGAAAAACTGGACCTTGCACAATAAATGCCTGGCAAGAAATCTACAAGTGAATGAGATATTCGATTATGATCAGCTAAACTGAATATCAACAATTAAGAAACACAAAACTAAATAAACAATAAGCTGGAAGGTTGTGCAGTGGATGGAACCATGCATCCTTTTTTATTTTATGTCTTGACATAGTGCCATAATGTGAGCCCTCTTATTAGCTGATCCGCTGAATTGTGTGTGTTCACGTCTCTTCACAGACCTCCACCTTTTGTGTTCTGGATAAATTATATTCGCATTTCTCTAATCCCCCCCCCCCCCCCCTTTTTTTGTGTATAGATAGATCATTTGACATGAAGCACATCAATATTTTGCCTTCATCTGCCTGACACCAGTTAGTGCACTCTAGTTTCTGTGACAAAAAGAGCTAGCTTGCCTTGAATGTGTGTGTTAAAGGGTTTGAAAAAAGACATCACCTATTTGAGAACAGTCTTTTAACGATTCTGAATCAGGTGTAAATGTTGCTATAAAAAAAAACGTAATAACATACATGCTATGACAAACGGACCTGAGATGCGTAGTGGCTATATGTTTCATATAGGTCTCGGGGTCAAACCTGCATCATAACCCCAAAAAAAATGTGTTTTTTTTTTTCCAACTAAAGCTGGCTCAAACCTGATACAGCATAATGTTCTGGAAAGTGAAGGTGGCCTTAAAACTCAAGCAGTTCTAAATGGCCTATTGAAATATCTAGAATCATATCCCTATTCCAGAACTTATAAAGGGCCCTTTAATTTTACTTGCTATGATATACAAGCTGCTGGTTGTACTGCCAACACTATCATTACAATGCTGCCAGCCTTCCTGATGCTCCTGTAAGGTCTGGAAAAGCTGAGGATCTATCTGTTACAGAGTAATTATCAACATATAACAACCTGCTCCAGATGAGAACCTAAATCTGCCAATTTGGACTCCTGTTCCTCAGTTGTACCATTAACCTAAATTAACAGATCACTTTTTGACCATACACTAAAAGACAAATTAATTGTTTTAATAGAACCATGTAAGAAAAATAAGCACAATTTCAGGTGATGAGGCAAGGTGCTAAGTTACACAGTGAAGAACATGCTGGTTGTACTCCTGCCCTAATTTGAATATGCGGAGCAAGTAGCACACTGTGCAACAGAGTGGATGCTTTTCAGATGTGCTTTCATGGAGCTCCTCTGTGTAAGCCTAGAGTCACACAACGGACATGGGTAAGAGGTGCCTTCATGAGCTCTTTTATGGTATGTCAGACCCATAGCAGTTTGATAACCTTTGCCACACAAAGTGCAAGTAAATGGCATATGATGCCCATGCTGCGAAGAGATGTGGGTTTTCAGATCATACTGGTTGGAGAACTGTGCGGAACAGAGTGTACAAAGAAGATTTGTACTTTCCACATGCCCCCCATGGCTTGTTTCTCTTGAGGCATCAACTGATGACAGGGGTTGAGGAAACCTTGTGGCCTTGATAGGTCCTGATCTATAGACCATTTTAGTTTTCCTTACTCTACCAGATCTGCAAGCCGGTGAAGCAGACGGAGATAAAGGTGCAGTAACTGAACTGAAAG